CTGAACTGTGTCCCCAGCAGCCCCAGGGCTGGCTTGAGTCTGGCCTAAGAAGAGGACAGGGCAGTGGAGGAGGTGCAGCTGTGGGAGGACCAGGGACTGTGCCGCTGCAAAGCCGTGAGGATCTGGGATTGTAAGACCCAGAGGTTGAGATATTTCTTGTTCTGGTCCCACAACCAGGAGCCACAGGAGTTGGCAGCTGCTTCAGCATCTTTGGCTCCTCCAACCCTCCTTGTGGGCCCATGGTCCAGCCTCAGTCCAGGCTCCCTTCTCTGGGAGCAAGTGGTGAGTCAGCGCCACAGCTCCTGCCTTCTCTGGCCTTGCACGCACCAGCCCCTTGTGCGAGGAGGTCATGTCAGGCTTCTCGCTGACATTGGGACCACCCCCATCACTGAGGAGAGGAGATGGGAGAAGGTGCGGGGAGGAGAGGTGAGGTGTGGGGCCAGGGCTGGAGAGGAGGGGTTCAGTGGGGTGGGGAGGGGACAGAGCTGCCCCTTTCAAGAGAGTCTGGCTGGGGGGCTGGGGGGGGACAGCAATGGACCAGAGGTGGGGACTTGTGCTGGTCAAGTGGGAAGGGGATGAGAAGCAGCCCTCTCTCCCCCTCTTCTTGCTTTGGTGGCACCCAGGGCTGACTTGGCCAGGGCCAGCTGGCAAGGGGCAACTTGGGCCAGGACAATGCCCATAGGAAGGTGATGGTGCAGCCAGAAGCTCAGGGAGGGGATCTGGAGGAGCCAGGAGAGGCCACAGGGGCAGCTGGTGTCCACTGCACCAGGGCCCCCTTCCACAGCAGGTGAATCATGGCTGAGGGGATGCCGTGACCAGTGTCACGAGTGTGTCTGTGCTCAGTGCTCCACATAGAGAGGTCACCAGCTGACATCTCCATCTGGAGCTAGCTTGGATTGCAAACTGGTATGTCTGGGAGATGCCCTCATCACTGGGCATGGCTCAGACATGTGCCAGATTTGTAGGCAGGCAATACAGAACTATTCACAGCAGCAGAACAGATGCTGACTGTGAAATGTTGCAGCTGGATATGAGGGACCTTGGTGGCCAGGTGATAAAATGACACTGTTTCAATAAACACAAACTAGTGCTCAGGGGAAAAGTACTAGTTATACCTGCAATTTCCTGTATACCTATATACTTGCCACGTTACCACTTGGAAAAGATTTTGGAGCCACAGCAGAGCATTCAATTTAAACAGGAGCCTGGGGCTCAGCAGCGAGCAGAGAGATAACTACAGTGCTAATAATAGCACTGTCAGCACTGCGCCGTCGCTCAAAACGGTGCAAGCTCTGGATCCTGATCTGTGCATGGGTTGAACCTGGCAGGCAATGCGGGCTGCAGTGTCACCATATACCTGCCTTGCTCCTGCCGGCTTGTGGCACGTAAGTGCTGTTGGCCGCTGCCAGAGAGGTGGACATCTGGGCTGAGCTGCACGGTTTTATATCCCTTATCTGCAGTGAAAACTCGATGTTGCCGATACTGCCATTGTACCGCTGTGCAGTGGAAGTGCTTGGCGTTAGTGGCACTGGATTGTTTTCTACATTTCTCCCATTGGATTATTTTCCATGTTTCTTCTGTTTGGGCACAGGGCAGTTGCCCTGGCGGTGCGCTCTCAGGCAGTGCTCTCTGTGGGTGACGTGGGAGCCCTGTTTTGCAGACAGCCTGTTGCCCGGCCGGTTTCCCATTCACGCTGGATTCTTTAGAGATGGGGTAGTATGTTCCTCAGCACCACAACAGTTGCTTCATATTTTGATAACCCACTCCTTGTTGCCCTCTTTGAGCAGGTGCTGAAGGTGTTCCTGTACAGCTGTGGAGCAGAGTGTTGCTTTGTTCAGGGAACACATCATGAACTGGTTTACTGAGGCATGGACATCAGCTGCCTGACCTTGTGCAGGTCAGTGCGTTACGCCTTCAAGAGCTAGCAAGGGTTTACGGATGATCCTGGGTTCAGTCACATTGTGTTGTGTATGAGCTTATTTCCCTTTCCCAGCAGCAAGGAGATTTTGGCCAGGACTCCTGCAGGATCCCACTCCAAATTGGTACATCTGGGTGCCGCTAGCAATGACACGATCCCATTGTGTCTCATGAGTTGGTCTGGCAGGGCAGGCTGGTGCCTTTCTGCAACCAGCTGGGTCTCAGGTGACTTTCTGAAACACCTCTATGTGCTTGCTGGGACTGCAGCTGAGGCTATGGGCAGCCAGGCATCTTCTCCTCTGGTAGTGTCAGCTGAAATCCTACCAAGAACCATTTTGCTTTTGCCTGGTTGACTCCAGGAGCTGAGGAGGAATACCCATCAAGGGGCACTATGCTCTCTCTGACCTGCTCTAGGAAGTTGTGGAGCCAGCGGGAGCACAGCCTGTGCCTTGGAAGGGCCCAGGGGCACCATCAGTGGGGAAATGAGGAAATGTGAAGTGGGCCTGAGGGGTTGGCTTCAGATTGCCATCTTTAAGGGCCAAACAGAGCCAAGATCCCATCTCAGACAAATGGCTGATACTCGGGGACAGGAGCTCTGATATCCCCCCAAGTCCCTGGTAAAACCAGCCAGACCAGCTGGAAACCAGTCCCACGGCCACCGGACTGCGCATCGGCATCTCTGGGGGGTTCAGAAAAGATCAAAGCATCCTCTGGTGAGGCACATTCGGGACCCACCCTTCTGCCATCCACCCCACCACCTGCATGGGTGGTCAGGGGTCCCTGCTGTGCTCCCCCACCTGTGCAGCATCCCAAGGGCTTGCTCCAATGCTGCCTGGCCCCCGCCTGCCTGGAGCGTAGCCCTGTCCTGCTGGCGCAGCATCTGCTTTCTGCTGCAGGGAACCCCCAGCAAACAGCTGCTCTGGGTTAGCAGGGGGTTTGTTTTGCTTGTGAGTCGGCCGTGGGAGTCGGCTGTCGTGGAGCTCGGGGTAGGTTGGTTGTCTTCCCAAAGAAAGCCCAACCTCTGCATGGGCGACAGTAGCTTTGTTCCAGCTTCCTCTTTGCTCTCCTCCACGTGGCTCATGTTGTCTCACTGGCACGTTCTGCTCGCAGCGACATCTCTTTTTGGTATGAACTAACTTTAGGTGCAGTATTAATTTCCCTTCTGGCTTGATGCTGAGGGTGTCCTGGATGTGCCCCCCAGCTCATCCTCTGTCACCTGCTCCTCTGTGGCACTCACCTCCTGCCTCCTTTTTTGCACGGTATTATATGTTTTACACTAAATTACTGTCCTGTGTCACTGATACATCAATGGCTTGAGACTGTTTCTCTGCTAAAAAGCCTTTTCCCCTTTCTTCCTGCCAGGTTTGGCAAAGGGCCGTACAGCAGTTACTGTGGGTGACTTTGCTGCGCTTTCCCCCAGCGCTCCCAAATCTTCCTCTCTCTTTGTGCACCTGCTTAACATGGCATTTTTTTGCATTTGCTCTTGCATAAAGGTTGGCGTGCCACTTTCCTGGGATGCTCTCATGAGAAGAGCTCTTCGCTATTCCCTGCTCCTTTTCATGTTCCCCCTTTGCAAATGAGCTTGCTCTGCAGCTCCACACACAGCTGATTGCTCTTTGCAGTCTGCAGGCAAGCCTGTGTGTTTTTCATCCTCATAATAGTCCGTCCCAAACTGGTAACTCTCAGTGCCCATTATCAAATGGCACGTGTCTGCTTTGCACCACATGGCAAGGCACCAGTCTCTTGTTCCTCTAGAGCCTCGATTACTTATTCAACATGCTTCAGGCTTTGAAGGTGCTCCTGCAACAACGCACCTGGGACTTGGTGGAGGTTGTGCCATGCACAGCAGAAGGGGAGTTTGAAGGTGTGTGGGATGGAGTGTGCGTGTTTTGGAGTGGTATTGCTGAAAATGGGGGGATATGTCCAGATATTTTGAGTTAGTGCTTAAGTAGAGGAGAGAAATTGCAGTGCTTGGCTTCTGTCTCCTGGCATTTTTGTATTTTCTTCCCATCAGAAAGATCTTGAGGCACTTTCTAAGCTGCAGAAAAGCCTACCTTGCCTGTGTTAACGTATCCGTTGGAAATGGTTTTAACTTCCTGCCCAAATCAGAAGGCTTTGTGAAAAATAGATGGCAAAGCCATAGCAAATCAGTTCACGTCTGGGTGTGAGTGAGTAAAATGAATTAAACGTTCTATTTTATTGCCAGTTGTGGTGTATGAATCTTTGCTGTTTTCAGTCAAGGAATATAATGGAAAAGGTTTATCCTACTTCTTAGTCTGTAACAAATCTGGGAGCACTACCACTCAAAGCTAATGAGATAAACACAGCTTGAAGTGGACTGTTTGCCTGTCCCACTTAAACATAAAAAAATCTTGTCTTAATAGTATAAAAAATCGTGTTTTGGTGCAAAATGGCCTGATATTGAAAACCCTTTCTCAAATAAACAGTTGTTCCAAAGCAAATGGGATTTCTGCAGGAATGAGCATTACTGGAAAGGGGGAACTTGTGGGACTGGACGATAAAGTAGATTTCTTTTTTCCATCATCCATTAGTGAAAGAAAAAACCTGACTGAAATGTATTTATAGTTTAATCATTGTATTTGAGCTGTGACCTATGTGCTTAGGGATTTAATTCCCAAAGGCAGGGCTTTGAAAAGTTATTAAAGTCTGCACGTAAAGGATAGGAGGGGTTTTTGTAATTTTAAACTCTGAAAGGATGATTGAACTTATAAACTTCAGAACCGAATTTACTAGCGACTCCCAGCACAATGACCCCAGTGGCACTCAGGTTGCTGGGGGTGCATGGGGCTGGCGGTGACTTGCCCCCGTGCTCCGTGCACCCGCCGTGCTCGTGCTGCCCAGCTCCTGCCCGCAGCTGTTGGCCGCCTTTCCTTGCCCTCCCTGCGGCACCCGCGTTCCCCACCGGTCCCAGTTCTCACAGAGCTTTTCTACCCAACGCAGGTTGCGAACGACGCCTGGAGCCCGGGCCGGCCCGAGCAGGTGGTTTATCATGCGAGGATGTGCCTGCGCCCTCGCTGACCTGCCCGCTGTCCCCGTCCCCGCTGCCTCTCCCACCCGGCGCCATGGGAGGATGCTTCTCGAAGCCCAAACCAGGTGACTCCCCTCCAGCATCGTGTCCCCATCCCACCATCCCCGTGGGGAGAAGTAGGTCAGCACAGCGGATACTTGCTGGGGGAATGTTAATGCTCAGCTCCCGCAGGGAGGATTACCGGCCCGTTAATCCCCCCAAATTCCTTGGCGCTCTCGCCCCCAGGCAGGGAGGTGTGCGGGGGCTGCAGCAGGGATGGCGGTGGTGATGGGGGGCAGGAGGAGAGCTCAGCCTGAACCCTGCAACTCCCTCCAAACACCCGTTGCCAGCTCTTCCCCATCTTGTCTCCTTGTACCCTCACCATCCTCCCTGCTTCTGCCTCCCCGCAGTGCCCGAGGGCGCAGAAATTCCCTCCTCGTGCCCCAGGGCGGGTTTGTGTGACAGCCCTCCCTGTAGGGATGCGTGTGGCCCCAGCACTTTCCTTGCTGCCGCAGCTTTGCCACTCGTTGGCCAGCCCTTAATTTTGTCCCTGCTGGAAGGGAATGACCAGGGAAGGAGCAGGACCACTTACTGCTGGATTTCTTCCTGCTTTCTCAGTCCTACCACCTAGGAGGTCCTGGGGCTGCTCCGCTCTCTGGACTCGATTTTCTTGGCAAAGCTCGTCCACGCGTGCTGCCTCCGTTGGGGAAGGCAGCTGTACGCACCTGGACATCGAGGATGTCCCCCTTGACCCGCGTGCTCCCGCTGCGGCTGGGCTGGAGGGGCGCGCTGCTCTTCGTGGTCGGGCGAAGGTGGGCGTGCGTGGGAAAGGAAGGGGCTGCGGTGGCAAGCTGGCGGGTTGAGGGAGCTCTGCTGTGGAAGTTGTCAACGTTAAGCTTTGCTGAGCCCCTGCTGGCAGCGGGGGCACAAGCAGGCATTGTGCGGTCACCCTGGCTCATCATACCCAGCGGCACCCCCAGGGTCCCCAGGGACCGATGCTGGTGTGGGGGGGGCTGGGGCAGTCGGCTTTGCCGAAGCTGCTTTCAAGGTGTCCTCCCATCCTGCAGCTTATTTTGACCGCTTAAGAGGGAGCTGAAGGACCACCCTGTCCTTCTTACCTGCTCGTGCCCAAGGGCAAGGGGAATCAGATAGCCCTGCTGATCTATCAGATCAATCACCACCCACACGTAGCCTTTGAGGGTGGAAAAAGGACTTTTGGGAAGCTTTTATTGGCAGTTTGTCTTCATTGCCTCAGGCAGTGGGGACCTGAAGGACTCGAAAGGTCAGACGGGCAACTTGTATGGTGTGCAACCCACTGTGCATCCACTGAGTGAGGTCCCCTGCCTTTGCTTTGCAAGGCACAAGGAGAAAACAAAGGTGGTTTGCTGCCCTTGACCCGGACTGTGGTTATTTTATGGGTCATTGCAGTGCCAAGGTAACAGGGCATTGGATGCTGTGAACTGTAAGTTTTCTTTTGTGGAAACCCACGCTGTTTATATCCTTCCTTGAAACGTTTAAGGAGTGAAAATGCATCCAGGAATAAATGCTTTTGTTGACTAAACTTGTAACAAACTCTGCTGGCAGTTCCACTTTATTTTGTGTACCATCAGCAAAATTGTGTTTAATCTTGGAGTGGTGGAGGAATAAAAGTGCTCTGCAGGCGTATTTCCTGAACTGCAGGTTTTCATGTAGAGCTGTATTTGCATAGCAGGGCCAAATGACTGAAAATGCCATCCTGCAATGTAACACGCTCTCTGCAGCTCTGGTTTTGATTAGCAGTCTTCAAAGGCTTTTGACAAGCTTCTCCCCAGCCCCTGGTTAGCACACCGCTGCCTGCGGTGCTTTATCTCGTTGGTTATAAAACCTGCAAATGCCATGAGGTAAAAACAGATGCATTTGCAGATATCCATTGTTCTGGCAAAGAGGTTTCACAGCCTTTTTGTGATATTTTCTACTTGCAGGAGCTGTGCACCATCAGAGCTAAATAGTGGACTTTCCTATTTCTGAAAATTCACCTATCCCCTATCTGAATGACATGTAAATCATACAGGGACAGAACAGAGTTATTTTCTCCATCAGTGCTATTTTGACATGAAGGGAATATTTCAGATACAGCCAGAAGTCAACAGAATTTATTTAGACACTTTTGGAAGAGGTATACAAGGTCCTTATCTGCTCGATCTTCTTATAGCCGAGAGAGACCCTCAGTCCCTCCGAGCACCCTCAGCATTTCTCTTGATAACCTTGACATTGCACACACATTGCTGTGTGCCAGGAAGACCTTTTGATGAGCAGATCACTTTGGAGAGAGGAGTCCTGCCACAGTAAATAAATATGCTGGCTATACCAGAGGCCAGCCCTGAAGTCTGGCTGCTGCTGCAGTGCCCGACCCCATCCTGATATTGAAGTGTTTAATTAAGAGCTTATGTTCAAGCAGCGAAGAAATCTTCCGTTATCACTAGTGCTGCAGTCCCGTGATGCCAGACCCTCTTCTGAAGGCCCAGTTCTCAGTTTCCACATCATTTTTTTACTCTGTTTTTTCTCCGGGTGCGTGGCGCATAAGCGATGAGCTGCCAGCTGGCAGTCTGCGGGGGAGCCCAGCACCCACTCCCGGCGAGGCAGCCGGGTCCGGATGACGGGTACCAGTGTGTGCCAGCGGCTGCTCGGCGCGAGCTGCAGCAGCACTGTCCCTGCACCAGGCGTGGGAGAGCGCCTTGCAAAACCTGTGAAGTTGTGATGATTTTTCTTCGTGCTCTCTGCGGGGCTCGGCGCTCGGTGGCGGGGCAGGGCAGCAGCGCCGGCACACGCGGCGTGTCTGCGGGTGAGGTTTGCCCTGGCGCAGAGGATGCGTTTGTCTCCGAGCAGGGCACACGTCTCCCTCGCAGGGACGCTGCACGCTGATGGAGGGGCGCCGTGGGCTGCCTGTCCTTCTGAGCTTGGCTCTGAGGGTGCCCCCGGCCTTGGCTGGCGAGTCCTACCTCCTCGTTTTTGGGAGTGTGGCGTTTGCTGAACAGGGCATCTGAGAGGGAGGGTAGAGCCAGGCACATTTGACGCTGTGGTTTTGTCATTAGCTCTGTCATTTTTAATAGAAATGCTTTGAAGTCTCTTGAAGACCGCCTAAGGTAGTTCTCATCGAGGTTTTTAGTTAAGAGGCACCATGGGCGAGCCCAGGGGCTGCCTGGGGTGTGCAGCTCTGGCAGGGCAGAGCGAGACCCCAAACATGCCCCACAGCAGTGGATTTGCCCTGTGCTGGCTGCGGGAAAATAAACCCTGCTGGGGTAAACTGAGCTTTCTGGCTGTGCCCACCGTACCCTGCTGGTCCCTCCACCATCACTACCCTTGGTGCTTTTCTGGTTTCCACTGCTCTTGGAGCTGCTGGTGCTGTACAGCCAGTACAAGGCTGTTCCCTGCCTGCAGTGCTCGTTTGCCCTGTGCCTGCAGCCCCCGAGCAGCAAGTGGTGCTCACCTGACCCAAATGTAGTCTGGAAAACAAAGCTCTGGGGCATCAGGCCAAGTGAGAGACGGGGGTTGTTCCCTGCAGGTGAATTCACTGGCATCAACGTCACCATTAGGGCTCGGAGCCGCCAGCTTTGCCAGTGCTGGCCCAGCCTC